GCTCATTTTAGAGCGACGAGGTGTTGGAGCTTGGATCTAGCGATCTTGATGTTGTGATTGGCTGAATCCGGCGAGATCTTGACCTGTCTGGGCGAGAAATGGTATTGATCTTTATCTGATGTTTAATTTATCTTCATTAAACGTAGGTTTTTTGTCGATTTGAGGGGAATTTCTAAAAATGGAGCATTTTGGTGTTACATTGGGCTAAAGTTTAGATCTTTTGTCTGTTGGTTGTAGGCAACCCCCGTTAGTATTGAAGTAGGGTCTCATGTCTGGGTTGAAGACCCGGACGTTGCTTGGATCGATGGGGAGGTGTCAGAGGTCAACGGCGACGAGGTTAAAGTCAGCTGTACCTCGGGGAAAACGGTCAGTTTCGACCTTTCAGGAGTCAAATTATATTAGGATCAACGGGTTCTGTATTGTTTGTGGTTTTGTGATTGCAGATTACGGCGAAAATAGCCAATGTCTATGCCAAGGATGCCGAAGCATCCCCATGTGGTGTTGATGACATGACGAAGCTGGCGTATTTGCATGAGCCAGGAGTTTTACAGAATTTAAAATCTAGATATGATATGAATGAAATATATGTGAGTAGAAATTTGAAGAGTAAAATTGGTTAGCATGCATTTCTTTTGTAGTTTTGTCAAGGTTTTTGATGAGTTTAATTGTTTCTCCAGACATATACTGGAAATATATTGATTGCGGTGAACCCTTTCCAAAGGTTGCCTCATCTTTATGATACCCACATGATGCAACAGTACAAAGGGGCAGAATTTGGCGAGCTCAGTCCCCATCCTTTTGCTATTGCAGATTATGCATATAGGTGTTTTCCTTTAAATCCAATAGCCATGATTCAATCTTCTTAAATCTCCTTTTTTGGTTCATTAAATTTTATCCTTGTTGTAGACTTATGATGAATGAGGGAGTAAGCCAATCGATTCTAGTTAGTGGAGAAAGTGGTGCAGGTAAAACAGAAAGCACGAAAATGCTTATGAGATATCTAGCTCACATGGGTGGGAGATCTGCAGCTGAAGGTCGGTCTGTGGAACAACAAGTATTGGAGGTCAGTACTTGTACACATTTTCCTATCTCTGACTTGTCCTCACACATATTTAAATTGAGGCAAATCGATACCTATTTTACAGTCAAATCCTGTCCTTGAAGCATTTGGTAATGCAAAGACGGTCAGAAACAACAACTCAAGGTGGGGATTTTGTCAAAATTATCATTTATGCAAATCACATTACATGTTTCTGTTATTGGGTTAATGCTAATCATGAAATTGAACTATATTATGTGATCAGTCGCTTTGGAAAGTTTGTCGAGCTTCAGTTTGATCAGAGAGGGAGGATCTCAGGAGCTGCCATTAGAACTTACCTGCTTGAAAGATCTCGTGTCTGCCAAGTATCTGATCCTGAGAGAAACTACCACTGTTTTTATATGCTTTGTGCTGCTCCTCCAGAGGTACTTGGTTCTCAAAGAACTCAGCATATTTCTCATCCTCCTCTATTTGATTCTGTGCTACCAAGTTGTTATATGCGTCTTTAACTCTATGACCCGATTCCATTTGGCGGTCAGTTCTTAATCATTATGCAGAAAGCAAACCAAGCAAAGGAAATTTTGAAGAGTTGATGGAACAGAGTGCTTTTACACTAACATGCACATAGAGACCAAATATTTGTGCTTCTCCTCATTTTTCTTCAAATCTGCTTTCAATTATTAAGTTCCATGAATATTAGAGTTGGTCATGATGTTATATCTGGTTCATGATGCAAGAAAATAACATGACATTTAAGTCGACTTTTTCCCTTTGAATTTATAATTGCATCTCTCAAGCACCTGCCACATGCTCATCTAGTGAAAATGGGAAACAACCAATTCCTGTCAGGCTATATATATGACAGACTCCTGAAGTTGTTGACTCTCCTGAAGTTGTTGACTTTCATTCATAATAAGGCGCTCAAGAAAAGGTGGTAAAAGATTAATGCTTTATCCTATTCATCAGTTTGAACATCAATTCCCTAAACAAATTCAGTTGCTAATGAGTTGATGTGATTCTATCAACAATCTATACAACTGTCACTTCTGGAATAGTCAGTTCTACAATCATCCCACCTCCAAGGAGACACAAGAACTCTTTTAAAGGCCATGCCAGAACCTCACATGAAACATAATGAAGGCATGCAAATCATATACATATCCATAAGCAAAATTTTGTCACCTGCAAAATCATTGTCTGCAATCACAAAACTCGTGTAACAAAAACCTCAAAGTTTCAACTCAAGTCCTCCGGCTATTTGAACCAGTCTATCTCTCGGAAAGAATATCAACTAATGAACCAATTATGAGCAGATTTGAGTCAGATACAACAAATTGGCTGCCAGAATAAGAGAGATGGCATGTTACTTTTTTTTTTCTTTCTGTTCTCATAATTTCCCCATCATTAAAATTTTGTTTTGTTTTGTTGGTATTCTATGTTTTTTGCTTCTTCCAATTTTCCATAATGAATTTTTTTATTGAAATATTATTATGTTTAAACATCTTCCTTTTTTTTCTGATTTTCTGCATGCTATTCACAATGTTCTTATGCCAGGATGTTAAAAGATTTAAACTTGGAAACCCTAGAATGTTCCATTACCTGAATCAATCAAACTGCTTTGAGCTTGATGGTCTGGATGATTCCAAGGAATATCTTGAAACTAGAAGAGCCATGGACATTGTTGGAATCAGTTCTGATGAACAGGCATGTCTCTTTTCGTGGTTCTATTGGGGAATAAAGACCCTTTGCACTTTACTTCTGACCTATTGAGCCCTTACCTCTTTGTTCTAAATTCTCTTCTTTTGTGTTTTTTCAGGATGCTATTTTTCGGGTTGTGGCCGGTATTCTTCATTTAGGCAATATTGAATTTTCTGAGGGAAAGGAAACAGATTCATCAACACCGAAGGACGAAAAATCCTATTTTCATCTGCGAACAGCAGCTGAACTTTTTATGTCAGATTCATCAACACCGAAGGACGAAAAATCCTATTTTCATCTGCGAACAGCAGCTGAACTTTTTATGTAACTACTTTTTCTTCAAAAGACAGTATTTTTGTGATGCCACTGTGGATTTGATGGTATCTTAAACATGCTCTCTGCAGGTGCGATGAAAAGGCCCTCGAAGATTCTTTATGTAAGCGTATAATTGTCACTCGCGATGAGAACATTACAAAATGTCTTGATCCAGAGGCTGCAGCTCTCAGTAGAGATGCCTTGGCAAAAATTGTTTACTCACGGTTATTTGATTGGTAAGGCACAATAAAGTTGTTGGTTTAGCTTCTTGAAGAATTTTGTGCATTATGCATCTTGTATTGACATAATCACTATGTATTGTTCTGTTGCCTGACTATTTTTTTCTGGTTGCAGGCTCGTGAATAAGATAAATAATTCAATAGGGCAAGATCCTGATTCAAAGGTTTTGATTGGGGTGTTGGATATTTATGGTTTTGAAAGTTTCAAGATGAACAGGTGCTTTACCAGTATGCTTTTGGGTTTGTCACTGAGGTTGTCAAAAGTTTGGGTGGGATTTGGACAATGCAAGCTTAACCATTACATGATAAGTTAGTTTTTAAAAGTGTTTTCTTAGTAAAAGTTTCACTTTATCTGAGACTTGGCCTCTGTGCCATTCTCTTGTAGCTTCGTCTACACAAGAACCCGTTTAGAAATTTGTTCTCTCCTAAGTCAACCCATTCTTTTCTTAAACTTATACTTTAGAGTTGTTATGAATTGATGTGATAGTTATTGCTCTTGCTGACCACGTTCTTTTCTTAAACTTATACTTTAGAGTTGTTATGAATTGATGTGATAGTTATTGCTCTTGCTGACCACTATGATGATATTTTTAGAGTTGTTATGAATTGATGTGATAGTTATTGCTCTTGCTGACCACTATGATGATATTATCTGACTACCTACTAGTTGAACCTGTTTTTGTAATTTTTCACAGTCGATTTTTATTACTGTATGTTTTTCTTCCAGCTTTGAACAATTCTGCATCAATTTGACAAATGAAAAGCTGCAGCAACATTTTAATCAGGTCTGAAAGATTCTCCAGAAATTTGTATTGAGACTTATTTTTCAATTGCTGGTATAGAAATTTTAAATATTTTATTATCACCCAATGCTTTGGGTCTAAACACATTGGTTGTTCTTTGTAACAGCATGTTTTCAAGATGGAACAGGAAGAATATACAAAAGAAGAAATCAATTGGAGTTACATTGAATTCATTGACAATCAGGATATTCTTGATCTCATTGAAAAGGTTACTTTGCTCTATCTACTTGTAAAGATTAACTTTGTTAAAAGACTAAAATTGTCTCTTTCTCACACCTTCAGTAAAATTCTTCTGTATTTGATTTTCTGAGTAAAATCAACACCAAGGAAGCTAATGAACTTTTGACAATCTTATTTTTCACCTTACTTTTGGTTAAAGAATGTTAACTGCTTAGTCCCCCATGATATTTCATGATATTCATTCTCTTGAACGTTTTTGCACATCTAAGTTGCATGGGAACGGGTATGGTTACTGGTACAGGTCACTGCATTGACTTCACTTACCATCCTTGAGCGGATCCAAGTTTATTGCATTTCGTCGATGCATTAGTTTATGATTTTTTGTAGAGTTAATCAGCTTCTCTTATTTAATATCTTACTTTTTATTTACAGAAACCAGGTGGGATTATTGCTCTTCTGGATGAGGCTTGGTACAAATCAACTTTTAATTTAATTTTCTTGTTCACTTGAATATATGAGTACCCATAACATGCTGTGACACTGATTTTATTTCTTGTTACAGTGTGTTGCCTAGATCAACCCATGAAACGTTTGCTCAAAAGTTGTACCAGACATTTAAAAATCATTCACGCTTTAGCAAGCCTAAACTAGCTCGCTCTGACTTCACAATTCGTCACTATGCCGGTGATGTAAGTATTGCTTGTTTCATGTTTGATTCTGTTAAGCTGTCTTAATATACATCTTCAGGCGCAATTCTGAGCTTAGGCATTTCATGTTCACCATTTCTCATGATATTATTATTGGTACATGCTCAGTAATTTAGCTTAAAAGTTATCTTGGTTTTCAGGTCACATATCAGACAGAGCAATTTCTGGACAAGAACAAAGACTATGTTGTGGCTGAACATCAAGCTCTCTTGACAGCTTCAAAATGTAAATTTGTTTCTAGTCTATTTCCGCCTCCTTCTGAGGACTCCTCTAAGTCTTCAAAATTTTCATCAATAGGGTCAAGATTTAAGGTGAAGTCCATTAATTCATATAAAATTTCCAATTTATTTATTGCAAGGTATGACTTTCATGTGTTCCTGAATGCGACTGATTTAATTTTCCAGCAACAACTGCAATCTTTGCTTGAGACTCTGAGTGCTACTGAGCCTCACTATATTCGCTGTGTTAAACCTAATAATATTCTGAAGCCAGCAATTTTTGAGAATAGTAATGTTCTTCAGCAGCTCCGATGTGGGGTAAACTATTTGAACCTGAGGTGTTATAATTATTAAATTCCAGCTGTTGGTACATTTCATAATAAATAAACTCCTGACATAGGGAGTGATGGAGGCTATTAGAATTAGCTGTGCTGGATATCCAACCAGACGTACGTTTGATGAGTTTATAGATCGTTTCAGTATCCTTTTACCTGAAGTTTTGGATGGAAGGTGAATGATCTCAATGTCGCTAAGTATATATCTTCATGCATTTTTATGATGTTTGCTTATTTCTTTTTTTTTTCTCTCGCCATACTAGTTGCGATGAAGTCACCGCTACAAAGAAGCTGCTCGAGAAGGTGCAACTTAGTGGCTATCAGGTAATTCTAAAAATTTGACAAGTTGCGAAAGACCGTAGCAGTTTGTTTTTAGCAATACTAATTTCTGCTACTTTCTGAAACTATTTCTACCATTATCTTGAATTTATATGTAGCAATCTCTAACTGGATCATGAACCTGTAACATATAACGTGTTTCTGGCCAACCCATATTTACGTATCAACTCAATTATTGATCATATTTGCATCGCAACACTTCATACAGTGACATGGAAATGCAGAAACCTATTTTCTTAGTTCATTTGCTGGTGAAATGACAGAAGATACTTTACATGCAACGATGAAAAGCAGTATGCTTAAATTAACATGTAAGAGTTGTTTGTCATGAAATAGTGGAAAGAAATATGGACTTTGTTGGACTAAACCCTAAAAACGCAATTGAGTCATGCAGTATTTGGGGAGGGGTCAATTCAGCAAGGCCTTGGAACAAGATGGGGTGGTTAATATTTTCGGAACCCAATTCATATAAAATGGGATGGTTTGCTATAAAATGTTGACTACAGACTTATTTGACCATCTATACTTATTTGTACTGAATTGGGGACTAGATTGTGTCTTAACTGAGATCATGTCTTTGCTGGCGCTTCTTGAGGATCAATCTGTAAGAAGATCCCAAAATAAACTTAAGGAAAACAAATGTCCGACGTTTCTCTCACCTCATCTAAAAACTAGCAGACAAGGAAAGTTAATATTTTGAGGTAAATGATCAAACTCATTATTTACAACGTGACTCAAACTCCAACATGTGCCTCTGGCATCCTCCGCACACAGGTTTGGTTCAACCAAAAATTAATATTTTGCTTTAATATGTGAAAAAAAGGAAAGGAGAGAGAAAAATAGAACAAATTCATCGGTTGCAACCTTAATTTTAACACCCAGCTGATGTAAATCCATTATTATTCTTCATCGATTGGCAACATCAAGCCTAATTCAGAGTAACTGCAAAATTCTACTAGAAATTGACAGTGATGTTTGCAGTTAGGGAGTGTCAAGCACAGAAGAAATTTATACTTAAAACTAAATTTATGCTTATTGAAATATGAGATGTATATTCTAAAGCCCGGTTTCTGCTGTTGTTACTTCCCCATCTTATATCTCAAATGGAACTTTCAGATAGGAAAAACAAAGGTGTTTCTTCGGGCTGGTCAAATGGCAGAACTAGATGCTCTCAGGAGTAAAGTGTTGGGAAGATCTGCCATCAAAATTCAAAGGAAAGTTCGCTCATATTTGGCTCGGAGGAGTTTCATTTTACTCAAAAGATCAGCTACGCAGCTTCAAGCTGTATGCAGAGGTAACACACACTGGTTAACCTATTGGTTTTTTCTATCGCAATGAAATTTGATTGGCTGTAGGAATAGTTTTTCTTTTGTTTTCAGCTTGCAGGGTTACATTTGTTTTAGTTGATGAAACCATTGGTTTTTCTTATCATTGTAGGGCAAATTGCACGTCAAATTTATGAGAACATTCGTCGAGAAGCTGCTTCTTTAAGGATCCAGACATATTTCCGCATGTACCGTGAAAGGAAAGCTTATAGAGCATTATTTTTTGCATCCATAAGTATCCAAGCTGGTATACGCGGGACGGCTGCTCGTGGTGAGCTTCTGCTCAGGAGACAGACAAGAGCAGCAATTATTATTCAGGTAAAACCTTGGCAAATCTCTTGGTTGTCCATCATTCATTCTTTTTTAATGTGAAATCGGAACATCCAGTGTTCTATTTCCTAATCAAAGACTTCATCAAAAGTTTATGGACCTGATATTCTTTTTAATATTATTCTATTTATTCTATTCATTGTTTCTTCTACATAGAATGAATATAATGGATTTTTCACTTTCTGTTCATTATTTCTTTACATACAATGAAAGAGGTATAGTACCTCCATGTGTAATTAATTATTGTACACTAATCTCATTTCTCGATCCAGAGCTATACTCGTCGATTCTTGGCACAGTTGCATTACACGAGGACAAGGAAGGCTGCACTTATCATTCAATGTGCCTGGAGAGGAAAACTTGCGAGAAGAGAGCTCAGGAAGCTAAAACTGGTTAGCTGTCCCCTTCCATCATATTAGTTTTTTCTCCAATGTTCATTATCATCTATAGTCCAACAAAGCTTACAAACATATCTAGATGCATGGTTAGAGTTACAAATGTATCTAGACACATGGTTCAGTCTATGTCTCTGACTATCCATAATTTAGACCTTATTATGACAGATAAGAGCAGGGGTATCTCTTCATAGGCATTCAACTTAATTTATGAAAAAAGTAACATTTTTTTTTCAATTGTTGTGACACATTAGATTCTGAATGTTAAAGTTAAATCAGTCTTCTCTTTAATCTGATTAAAACATGCGATTAGGGGTTCTCATGATTTTGACATTCTGCAAGGTGAAACGAATTGTTTCTTAAATTAATTGATCATTTTGTGGCTAGATGCAGTAAGGAACCTAGCAGTTAGGAGCATTAAACAGGTTTTTTTTACTGTTATACATGCCTTGAATTCTATAACCTTAAACATGCTATTTTTGCGATTTAGGCTGCAAGGGAAACGGGGGCTCTCCAAGCTGCAAAGAATAAGCTGGAAAAGCAAGTCGAAGAACTCACTTGGAGGTTACAGCTGGAGAAACGCATGAGGGTATGCATATTGTCTCGAGAAGTTTTTATATAATACTTCTATTTGCTTCTATATATAAATCCCTGAACCACATTTTACCCAATTACATTTCAACCTTTGGCCGCGAATCATGTAATTTATGAGGAAAACCAGCTTTTAAATTTCAGTGTATTAAGTATGTCATGCATTCTGGTAGATATTATATTTTGAGTAGATCTATAGTTGGTAACCTGTCTTTTTTTTAATGCTGTTTAACTTAGGAGCAATTGATAAGTTTGCAGTGATTTTAAGGGAGAGGGCAGTAGGTTTCTGATTGTTTTCTATAAATTTGAATACCATGCAGCAGCTCTTTTACATATAATGTAAAGCCTAAATTGCATATTTTGCTTGAGTTCTAATCTTAGTCATGCGAACTACATGAAATCCGTGGTAATTTATCATGAAGATTATTAGTATACGATTTCACAGACCCAAGAGAAATAACGAGGCCTCATTATTCAGAGAACTATCCTTGCAACTATTTTTTTGGTGGTTCCATCCATGTCCTATGACTTATTTTGGTTGGCTTATCCTTTTGAGCAAATCATGTTTTAAATTTTTTTAAAGAACTTAGAAATATTGAATTCAGTATATCTTATAAATGTCTTTCTAGAGCTTAAAGCTGTCTGATAATAGCTTATCCAGCACTTGTCTCTATTTGACTTGAATAGCATCACTGAGTTCTGCATCTTGTATCACTGGCTGATGGGCCTTTCCTCAAAGGCTCTGGAAATTCTGTCTCATTTAGCATATTTGCTTGTGAACATACTTCTCCAGTTATCTCAAATTCTCGATATGGTAGTTGATGGCACGATTTCTGCTTTACAGGTTGACATGGAGGAAGCTAAATCACAAGAAAATGCAAAATTGCAAGTTGCGCTACGTGATATGCAACAAGAAGTTAAAGAGACGAGAACTATGCTGATAAAGGAACAAGAAGCTGCCAAAAAGGCAGCTGAGGAGGCTCGTATCATACAGGAGGTCCCAGTTCTTGATACAGCTGCTATGGATAAGCTTACTACTGAAAATAATAAACTTAAGGTGGAGCTAACATAATTTGATGCTTATCTCCATAATGTTTTTTTCTGCCTACCTTCCAGGCCCTGCAGTGGCTGAAGCCTCATGCATTGGGTTGCACTTCATTAACAGTATATTTCGTACACAATCAATTCCTCCAAAGATTTAGATGGAGGCCTTGTTCTTATTGTATTCGGAACATAATTATCCCTGCTAACCCATTTGTGCTGTATGGTTGAGTGAGCTGGATTCACTAAATTTATTTTTTTTTCATTTTACATTCTATGATGATGATCTATAGGAAATGGTGAGTTCGCTGGAAAAGAAGATTGATGATGCTGAGAAGAAGTATGAAGAAACAAGCCGAATTAGCGAGGAAAGGCTGAAAAAAGCTACTGAAGCAGAGTCAAAGATTACTCTATTGAGTGATTCGATGCAAAGGTTCTTGTAGTTCCTCGCCTTTAACTTTTCACAATTGAACCTCTTTTTCTCAGTATTGGAATTCTTCACCTTAGCTTTTCATAATTGACATTCTTTTCTCAGTTAAATTTTGAATATAAGATCAACCTTTAGAGTTTTAAGTCCTCCGTCAACAGACATTGTTGCAATCACCTGTGAAGCGCATGTCTGAACATTTATCTATTGAAACGACTCCAACAAAAGTACTTGCGGATTTTAAAATGCTGTGTGTCAATTCCTAGAGACATTCCAATCGCTTTCTTTCTTTGTGATTTATTATTTACTCCAATTAACTTTTGCAGAATTTGGACAATGGTCATTATGACGCTGAAGAGCCTAAGGCCCCAATTGTACGTGTATGACCTGCACGTTTCCCATGTTATAGTCTAACCCTTCATTTTAACTTAAGAGAATCACGTTTTTTGCAGGAACCTCAAAGTGCTCCTCCAGCCCTTAAGAATTATGCAAACTCTGATCCTAAATTAAGGAGGTCTTTCATTGAGAGACAACATGTATGTCTTAGATAGGGTGAAAATTCAAAATTTTCATGCATATTGCATCTAGCGTCTTGTGTATTAAAGTGGTAATTGTTGGCTTACAGGAGAGTGTTGATGCCCTTATCAACTGTGTTGTTCAAAATCTTGGGTTTAGTGAAGGAAAGCCGGTTGCTGCATTTACCATATACAGATGTCTTCTCCACTGGAAGTCCTTTGAGTCAGAAAAGACTAATGTGTTTGATCGGCTAATCCAAATGATTGGTTCTGCAATTGAGGTATCCTATTGTGTGCTGAGTTAGCTAATGATTTTTTTCTGGATCTACTTGTGTGGGTAGAGCTTTTTTAAACTTTATTGATTTATATCCTGATCAAGCGAGATCTTTCACTATTTGCCTTGCAATGTGAATTTGCATGCATTAGTCTATCACTTGTTAAATAATTTCAGTTATTTGTGCCATGACATTACCTGATTTTCACATAAGTGACAGGATGTTATGTTTTTCCGCCTAATAAAATTATTATGATCAGTCTCATTTTATTGTTTAATATTTTAGTCAAACTTTCTGGACTTCCAATCTGTCCTTTTGCTCTATTTCCTGGAAGTAATTATGTTTCTGACTTATATTGTTGATTTTCTGATCAGTTTCATGTCTTTATTTATTTAATATTTAGATTTCTGATGTTGTTTAGTTCAATTTGCTTGTGATTTTTCACTGTGATTCTAATGTATCTTTCTAGGGTAATTTTTCTCTTTGAAGCTTCCGTGCTAACATTTTTGAAACTGCTTTCTGTCGGACAAGATGCCACTTTATTGGTCTAGACTGACTAGTCACTGCAATTACTTTTCTTTTTAGTTAATGGTTCCATTTAAAGATGTATATTATAACTTTGTCACTGTTAGAAAAAGGATTTTGTTTGGAACAGTTTCTGGAACAGTCTGTAATCTTTGTTTCCTGAAGACTCATCTGGAATGAATCTTACTTTCATGTGCATCGATTGGATGCAATGAAAGTCATCCCTTAGTATGTGGTTTAACATCACTTACTACCACATTTATTCTACCTATGCAGAATGAGGAGAGCAATGACCATCTGGCTTACTGGATATCAAATGTGTCTACTTTGTTAGTTTTGCTGCAAAAGAGCCTAAATGCATCTGGGACAGTTCAACGCCGGAAACCTCCTCCTCCAACATCATTTTTTGGGAGGATGGCACAGGTTTTTTTCTGTCTGGTTTTTTCATCTTGATTTTCAATATGACGCCTACTACACATGCATGCTTACTGTAATTGAGCTTTATGATGGATGAAGTATTGAGTCAAATTTCCTCATTTGTATGCCCTGATTGCGTAGGGATTCCGCTCCTCTGCAAATCTTGCTTTTGATGGCCTGGATGTTGTGCGCCAAGTTGAGGCCAAATATCCTGCTCTCCTTTTCAAGCAACAACTGACTGCCTATGTTGAGAAGATGTATGGAATTATTCGTGATAACGTGAAAAAGGATATTACTTCCCTACTTTCATTATGCATCCAGGTATATTGGATTTCCAACTTCTACATGTAATTGTTCATTTATGAATAGTATGATCAAAATTAACTGTCTGCTGAAATTTATCTTTGCTTATATATGTTATAGATAATAACTCGGGGCTTTTGCTTATAAATCCAATGTTTTACTCTCATTTATCAAAAAACCTACTTCTATATGTTTCAATAAACCTAAAATACGAAGTTTGTTTACCTCTAAAACCAAGGTATAGTCTACAAAGTATATTAGCTATATACACTAGGGTATGTAGCTATACACCAAAGCATGTATCTATACACTAGTCACTAGGGTATGTATCTATACACCAATGTATGTAGCTATACACAGTGGTGGAGCTAGGATTTTTTCCTACTTCCTAGTGGTGTCCCCATATAATTTATCATGGTTATATTTGGAATCTGCACTGACAATTTTACAACCTTGTCCCTTTAGTGGTGTCCTCTAATTATAGTGGTGTCCTAAGTAGTAAATACAAGTAAAGATGAGTAAAAACATGGATAAAGTAGGTAATCCAGTGGTGTCCTGTGACACCACTGGACATATGTGGCTCCGCCACTGGCTATACACTCTATAGTATGTAGCTATACACTCCATGGCATGTAGCTATGCACCCTATATTATGTAGCTATGTAGTATATACCCTATTGTATGAAGCTATACATCTTATCGCATGAGCTATACACTTTGTATTCTATATTTTGGGTTTAAAGATAAACAAACTCTATATTTTGGATTTTTTGAAGCATATAGAACCAGGTGTGATAAATGGGAGTAAACTTTGGGTTTATAAGCAAAACCCGCTAAAAACTCAATGCATCTTGGCAATCGTTAAGTTTGCATGCTTTGTGATATAGATATGTGCGTGTAGATGGGGAAAATGGGAATGAGGTGGTAACTCATCATGTATGCACACGTGTGTATGCCAACATGTATGTATACATTTATGTATGTATCTATATGGCTTCCCATTCCCCAACCTCCTGCTCCATCCCAGCACCGAATGACTGATTTTGTCATCATTTCATTGTTATGATGTAAGCTTTTATGTGGAATAGATATGCATAAACCAAAATAAAAATGCCCACGCGCACACACACAGCATCCAAGAACAGCAAAAATTTAATTTGCTTTGGTTGCAAGGCTGCTACACTAAGGGAATCTCAAAGTAATTTTTCCTATGAGAGATGATATGAAGAGGGACACTACTGACGTCTTTTTCTTTCTATTCTACAACCCAATTTGCTTCCATAAACTTTTGTATTCTCCTCTTGAAATCAATTTTATCATCATCTCATTAATATGCTGTGGCTTGTTTCTTTAATATCCTGGATTTTATATGGACTGTTTTTGTCTTTCTGATAATGATCATCTGTTTGATCTCTGAACTTAAGGCACCAAGAACAGCAAGAGCAAGCATGCTGAGAGGATCTAATCGTTCATTTGGCAATTCAACTCAGAGCAGTCATTGGCAAAGCATAATTGAGAGCTTGAATAATCTTCTCAAAACATTGCAAGAAAATTATGTAAGCATTGTCGGTTAAATTTTGAGCAGAATGAGATCTTTTTGGATGTAATAATTTTCTTTTTGTTGTCACTTTCAGGTGCCTGAGGTTTTGATCCAGAAGATCTTTAGTCAAATTTTCTCATTCATCAATGTGCAACTCTTTAACAGGTGAATGTCCATTTTTACCTTTTTTACCTTTTCCATCTCTGAGTGATTTAATTGTCTCTGACATTCTTTTCTTCCATTGTGGCAGTTTGCTTCTACGTCGTGAATGTTGCTCTTTCAGCAACGGAGAGTACGTGAAATCTGGTTTAGCAGAACTGGAGCTTTGGTGTGCCCAAGCAAAACCAGAAGTAATAAGCTTAAACTACAATTGTCTTCTAGATAAAAAATTATAATTCAATTGCTTATAAAGTCACTTTCTGATAATATCCTGCCTTGCAGTATGCAGGATCATCTTGGGAGGAACTTAAGCATATAAGACAAGCTGTTGGCTTCTTGGTTAGTTTCGGGATTTAAATGCCCTAAGTTCGCCTAGCTGAAGCATGGCATAATTTTATATAAGCTTGTCTCTCTCTTTTGTCTTCTTTTTACTAGTATTCTCAGAGTGTCGTAAAGCAACAATGAGACTCCTGTTTGTTACGCAGGTAATCTTTCAGAAGTATAGGATTTCCTATGATGAAATAGTCAACGACCTCTGCCCAGTACTCTCTCTTCCTCTCTTCATCTTCCCTTCTTATTGATGTGTGTAGCGGCAAATAAATGCATACTGTTTCTTGTTGCAGGTATTGAGTGTCCAGCAATTATATAGAATTTGCACACAGTACTGGGATGACAAGTATAACACACAGAGTGTCTCCTCAAGCGTAAGTGCAAAATTGTATTAATGAATAATGTATTCTGTAGTATCCTGGTCTCACAAATTTCTTTTAATGTTTTTTGTTTTTTCGGAGTTGTTTGGCTTGCACTGTAATTGTTATAAACTTTCTAGTTGATACCCTTTTAGGATAACCAAATTATCTGCTAAGAATGGGGATCCAATATTTTTCATCATAAGAATTTGGTTTACAAAACATAAATTTTCAGATTTGAACCATAAACTGAGACGGACTTGTATAAAGCTTACTGTTTATCATTTAATTTACTCAGGAAAACTTTCTCGATTTGTTTCTGTATAGGGGTTGATGTTTTGATGTCATCACATTAAAACTACATTTTTGTTTGAAGTAGTCATTCCAAAATCGACTCTTGATCCTTCATTGTATCTCTCTACAGGTCCTTTCTAGCATGAGGATCTTAATGACAGAGGATTCCAACAGCGCTGCTAGTAGTGCCTTTTTGCTGGACGACAATTCCAGGTAAGTCTCATATATGTACACATAAATGAATGTAAGTGTTCCTTATGATTGATCTCTCCTCCTCTTAATGATGATGCAGCATTCCCTTTAGTGTTGATGACATATCTAGTTCTCTACAAGATAAGAATTTTTCAGATGTTAAACATCCAGAGGAGCTTCTTGAGAACCCAGCCTTCCAATTTTTACAGGACTGAGGCTTCGGTACCTCAAATATGCTTGGAGTTTTGAGCATCATGAAAGTTTACTTAATGTTGTAAATACTATTTTTCACCATGTGTTTATTTTTTTCTTCTTTTTATCCCTTGTCTTTTTACACCAGTTCTGTCGACAGAGATTTTATTTGTTGCATTCATGTTAAATTATTAGTTCAATTCATAGGGGCGGTAGTTGGGCTAGGTTTCCGTCCCAATAGTATGATTTTTTTTTACAGGGCAATATTCTTTATAGGTATGTCATAGAGTTGAGTTTGTCGGAGGGAGACAGGACAATGCTCCTCCACCTTTTGTTGTACAAACTTTAAGATTGTAAGTGTAAAGCAATTGAATTATAATTTATATCTAAAAAATGTTTCCTTATTTTGTATAATCTTTCTGGCATTGAATATTATTTTGGCTTATGAGATGGTAGCTCATACATGTTCTATATTGGTAGATAAGATAACACTGCGGAGATTTGTTCTGTGTTTCATCTATTGTATTCATCTGTAAACATGTGGAGTTTCTACTCAGAGTTCCGAATATATTATGTGATTGGGAGCAAATTTATGGTTACTGATTTTTTTTTTCCTTTCAATTTATGGCTCTTTTACTAGTGTTAGTTTGTTGACATTAACTTTTAAGTGGATATAATTTTGACCAAATTTTAATTGGATTTATTTGACCAAAGTTTAAGCGGGGTACAAACAGTTCAGACAAACTGATCAGGGGAAAAAAAGAAAAGAAAAAGAGAATCAACCAGCGCTCGTCGCTTAAATAATATCATAAGCAAGATAAGCATGATGACTTCTTAAATTTATTTCTTGAATTTATGAAGTCCAGGTTAAATATCCTGCTCCTTCGATTAGTTTGCTTCTCACCAGAAAATGAGTTCACAGGTTTGATTATGTACTGAAACCCTTCAAATTTAGTACATTAGGCAACGGAAGAGTAACAAACACAAATAACTAGAACATTAATATAGCTAAGAGGTACCGCTATGTCAAAGACTAGTACATCAGTAAAGGACCACCTTCATTAATTCACCTACACTCGTCATAAAGACGTTACAAAGAGAAATCTCATTTAAAAAGGAAATTCTCAACGTATCATAAGCATTTGATGGATCATGTTGCCTACTTGCTTTACTTAATATTGAGAAAATTCACATGAAGTTTACCGGTTAACATTCAACAGATCTAACATTTAACATCGCGAAATGAATAAATATAGATTAACATCCAACCAAATTACAGAGATTTCGTTGTCAAGCCAGTTCTCGTTCAGCTCACATCACACAAGAATCAGATAAAGTCGAGATTCTGATGCCAGATACACAACAAGGTAATGGGTAACACGACAAGAATGCACTAGTGTAAATTTTTTTTACATATTTGCCAATTTACCAGGCTCCACCATTTTTTTTTCTAATTGACTTGTTTTTCTCACCGGTTTAGGGTTTTGCCGCTTTCCCCTGGCATCATTTGAAGCCTCCAAGTCAAGATGACCACATGATAAGGATACTAACCTTCTACCCTTTTTATTATCCATTTTTACCTATACAATATTTTTGAGAAAGTATAATCTAGAAGGTACCTGAGAAAGCTATAGTGATAAATATCCGGTACATATCGCCAAAGTTTTGACTGGCCAAATTATAGAACATAATATTGCTGGCATAAAAACACTCTGTCAAGGTGCAACGTCATTCTGCGCTATTATATTTTCAGTCTCGGGCTTAAGATCTGGAAATGTCTTCAGAACCTGCAAGCACATATTTTCTGATGTTCATATATGTCTCTACAAATTGGATGATGAAAGCAGATTTTCCCCCCTTCCTTTTTGCTTAAGTCTATACCTCATACAGGTACCAAGATGCAAAGGCATCAGTGGCAGCATATTGGAGCTGTTCCCTTGACAGAGGGATGGCTTCCCAATCTCCCATTCTTATTTTTGGGGGCTTTGCCAACTGCAGATAAACGTTATGAAGTTATCACATACGATTACCTCTTCAGCATTTAGCCTGTGGGTACAGATTGGACTATGATTTCATAATGTCATATACTATGAAATTATGCATGCAAATTCTCAAATTACTACATCAATCCCGTATGTTTGCATATCGACAACATATGGACAATAACTGCCAAAAGGAATTCCTGGGATCACCTTTTGTATAATTTTATTACACACAGCAGTTGCTTATCATTAATAGAATTAGTGGAAGTAAAGCAGCATACATGAAATGTAATTTTAGTGAACCTGTGAAGGTGAATAAGCGTATAGTACAAATGGACGGTCAAGAAATAACTGAGTAATCATTTTCGTAATCTGGGTTCAATCATTCGTCATGATGGTGAGATTAAGGATAACGCCACTCATTGAATTAAATCAGGATGGATTAATTAGTGAAAGACTGTAATGTCTAAATACCTCTTTGCATGTCAGCATTTCTGTTAAAGAGCTTAAACTCCATCTCTTCGCTCCACCAAGCTTAAGATTTGCATATTCTGACAAGTCATCAAGAGGTTCCACATTAACGTTATAATCCTTCGACATCTTCATTGCATCATTGGCAATCCATACTCCGACCTTTGCACAATCAGATGCAGAGTTACAGTAAGGCAAACCACCGAGTCACACGACGGTAAGCTATTGACTGAACAAAGAAGAAGGAACGACTAATCGGATTAAATACAGATTAATACCTTAATAGATGACAAATCTTCCAACAAGCACTTCAAACTAGGAGGAATTCCAGAATGAATGATATGAATTACATAGCAGTGAGAATTGTCCATGCATATCTGCATTAATGCAGCTTTCGTTGGAGCCTCTCCTGCAAATCCCAGACATACTTTCAGCTATAAATACAAAAAATAGCAAACCTACATGTCAATGATAGTAGTCTGATCATCATCATCAAATTGTGCCCTTTTGAAATAAAATTGTAAAACGTTAACATGTCAAGACAATTTTATCAACACACACGCAGAAAAAAGGGGCACAACGCTGCCCTTCCTATAATACATAGGATAACAGCGGTAATATAATGAGATCATTTCAAGATGTTATACAACCGATCGAAATAATAATTTTTCTTTTCAACCTTGAGAAACCCACCTTGTCTGAATGTAGGTCTCCATTCGATATCAAATCCGACGGAGATCCGGCCCTCATTCCGTTTCCTCGCTTTAATTTTGTCGAAAAGCTCCACGGCGGCTTGCTCAGCTTCAACGAACGTCCTACAGTATACGATTCGTCCGCCAAAATTCATTCGTTGGCGTTTCATTTTTAAATTAGCTGCAACCAGAATAACAATGAACGGTTCAAACAATAAACAATACGCGTAGGTGCTAAAAGAAAGCTAACAAATAAACGAAAATGCTAAACCCTAGATCACCTACTTAACTTTCGGGAGCCTCTGAACGTTCAATGCTACTAATTTCGGGAACAAAAACCTATCTTTTTTTTTTACAGCGAACACACTCACATCGACAAGGAGAAGGAGAGGGAGCCCAGCTCCGTTGGCAGGAACCGACGGTCGAGACTGCCGACGAGGCGGAGGATTTGGCCCAGCTGGGCAAACGCCGGCCCTTGGATCGCCGCTGATCAGAAGCGCCTTCGTTGACATCGAGATCGAGATTGGGCGATGAGTTCTTGCGCTTGGAATTGGCGTAGGACTCTTCGATGGATCTGAGCTCCTCTTCGGCTTTACGATCCCAATCGAGCAATGGAAACGATGAGGGTCCTCCTTCTTCGTTCTCCCCAGTCTCGGATTCCATGGTTTCTCTCTGTAGAAGAAATGTGAGTTTTGTGCCCTAATTTTGCAAATGGTGAGCGGGAAAAGAAAGCAAATGAAAAATTACTAGGATTTGGGTAGAGATACGGAAAAGTTTCAACAGGGGATTTTTCTTGTAGATATTTTTAGAACAAATTTTCACTGTAGCCTGGTTTTAAATTTTTATTATCAAAATCGACTGTGTATCGTTTTATTTACTGAAATAGACCGGTTTTCTCGTCACGCCAGCGTCGTGGCGAGAAAGCTGGTCGATTAATTTTTAATCGTCTTCGTAAACAGTCGGGGTTGGCAACCCCGACTGTTTAGTTCAGCGCCCGCTAACAGCTTCACTAAATGGTCGGGGTTGGGAACCCCGACCATTTCGTAATAGGACTATTACGAATTGGTCGGGGTTCCCAACCCCGACCATTTAACAGAGCCCAGCCAACGCTGAGTTAGCCAGGGACGAAATGGTCGGGGTTGGGAACCCCGACCATTTCGAAGCTCATTTTTAATTGGTCGGGGCCCCAACCCCGACCATTAAGCAGAGGGCAAGGGCGAGGCCGAAAGTAGTCGGGTTTGGGAAACCCGACTACTTATTCTGGGTCCCCACCACCGTATAAAAGCCACCGCAACCCCCTTTCCCCGATCCCATCTCATTTCTCCGCCTCCCTCTTCTCTCTTCCGTCTGTTCTCCCAAAACCGACTGTGTAGATCTTAATTTTGAGCTCGTTTCTTCGGCGGAACTTCAAATCAAAAGTTATCTTAAATGTTTTTAGGTAATTTCTTATCTTAAACGTTTTTAGGTAATTTCTTCTACTCTTCTCCTCTTTTAACATGTAGAAATGTAGGATTTTTTTCTTAAAAATAATTTGCTAGGGTTTTCATTCATAAATGAATTTCGTGGGCTAGATTTATCTGTGAAATTCGTTTGTATGATGATTATTATCGATGTAATTAACTTTTAGGGCATATAATGTTCAATTGTTCAATTTTAGGGTTTAGGATTTACAATTTGGGAATTAGGGTTTTTGGTTGAAATTATATAAGATTATTTGCATATTAATTTAATTTTTTTATATTTAAATGATATAATTTTCTTTTGAATAGGTTGAACAATATGATGTTTATTGTTTGTTCTTATGGTGGGCAAATTAATTATGGGATGAATAATATGCCAATGTACGTCGGAGGGGTAACGACGCCATTAATGATCTCGGAATCATATAGTTACTACGACTTGGTTATGGAATTACACCGAGTTACGGAAATTGACCCACGAGAATACCGACTGAAAATTATATGCAATTGGCCCATAGCTATTGATAGAACATCCGCAGTGGAGATCTCGAACGATTATCATATGAGTATTATGTTTAAATTGGGCAAGTCGCAACAAACGGTAGAATTGTTTATTGAAAAGTTACCACATAATCCGTGCCAAATATTCAAACCTCCAGGAGAATTCTCACGCATGTTAGATATGAGAGTTAATTCCGATGGGTTTCTTTCTTCTTCGAATGAAATGGAGCGGGCTCAATTCGGTGGAACGTCAAATGTCATGAATAACGAAGTCTCTTATGGAAATATGGGGAGGTTAAGTGGGGCAACAATTGAAGAGGATGAAATAAGCAATGACTCGGGAGGTGAAGAACAATATAGTGCACCAGTTGATAGCATGCAATTTGTTACCCAAGATGTCGAAGATAATCCGGAATGGCCTGATGAGGCTTACGTTAATAATGACTACGTTGAGTATGAAGAACCACCCCCCGACGAGTTTGAAGATGATGAGTGGATTCGTTCTTCCACAGTAAAAGATATGTGCATCGGTGAAAGTTCAACTCGTAGAGGAGATGATGACGCCCCCTTTAAAGTTGGTGATTTATTCGAGACTAAAGACCAATTGGTTGATGCTATTCGTGAATACTCTTTCGAAAAGAATTTCAAGTTCAAGCAAGTTAAAAGCAATCGCACAAGTTATGATGCAATATGTTTTATGAACACACAAAGAACAGGTCTGACCGAGGGAAATGAAGCTGATTACTCATGTCCTTGGAAGTTATATGCATTTGCAGGAAAGAAACACAATTTTCAATTTAGGATCAGTGAATACTGCGGTGTTCACACATGTGTCAATCCAATATTAGAGCAAGATCACAGTGGTGCATCTGCCTCTTACATAGCGCGGTTGATTATGCCAAAATTAAGGAAGAAGCTTGATCTAACGCCCGATAATATAATTGAGAAAGTGCTTGATACCAAGTTCATTAAAATCTCGTATATTAAAGCATGGAATGCAAGGAGAATTACGATGATAAAAATATTTGGTGATTGGGACAAGTCTTACGCGACACTACCTCAATATCTTGATGCGATCAAAAGAAGTAATCCTGGATCTGAATACAAACTCATAACCAAAGAGATCGATCCGAGAGTTCATCAATTCACCTCTGTTTTTTGGGTATTTGGGCCTTCGATTGAGGGGTTTAAATTTTGTTGGCCTATTCTTAGCATTGATGGCACACACTTATACGATAAATACAAGGGTGTACTGCTTGTTGCTACAGGAGTTGATGCAGATGGTGGCTTATTTCCTTTGGCCTTCGCCGTTGTGGAGGTCGAGAACAGTGAAAATTGGGAGTGGTTTTTTTCTTGCATTCAATTATATATTTTTAATGTGTTGCCTCCTAGAAAAATTACTTTCATATCTGATAGGATGAAAGGTATTCCAAAAGCATTGTGGAGGAGATTTGGCTCTCATCACCATCATCGCTATTGCTTACGACACATTAGAGCTAACTTTAAAAAGAGCTTTAGTCAGATTCATTTACAAAACCTTCTGTGGCAAGCGGGTTGTACGTCGGAAACATATGTGTATGATAGGATACGGGATCAAATCAAGACAACATCTCAAGCTGCACATGATTGGATTGAGAGAAGTCTGGGCAGTGATTACGTCGACCGGTGGGCACTCAGTAAAGATGGAGGGAATCGGTTCTGCATGATGACAACCAATTGTTCTGAAAGCTTCAACGGGGTACTTAAGGGGGCTCGGGCAATGCCCATACAGGCGTTGGTTGCGAGGACATTTTATAGGCTCAATTACTATTTTGTCAAGCGGCGAGAGGATGGAGCAATGTGGGCCTCGTTCTTGACACCAAAAAATGAGGCGATTTTAGAAGCTCGAGTTAAGCAAGCGAGAGGTACGAAGATTGTTAGATTTGCTGTAGATGAATGGGAGGTTACAGACAAACATGGTCACAATTACACCGTCAATTTGGGAGGTGCACATTGCACATGCACCTGTAACATACCAGAATTGCAAAAATTGCCTTGTCCACATGTCATAGCGGTTACGTCCAAGCAATCGGGGGGTGCAAATATTTCGTATTACACATACGCTTCTGAGTGGTATCAATCAAGCAACTATAGAGAGGCATATAAGCAGTGTTTCCACCCCGTACATGATAGTCGTTATTGGCCACACTATAACGGGCCGCATGTGGTGCCTCCAAGCTATAAGAGACAAGCCGGACGCCCACGATCAGTACGCTTAAAAGGTACTATGGATGAAGGCCGGGAAGGAGCTCCGAAAAAAAATAGATGTGGATATTGCAGACAAGCCGGGCATAGAAGATCTCATTGCCCGACCAATCCAAATAGATAGCAATTAATGGGTACAATTTTATACATTTGTAAATCAATGCTTATAGTAAAATCAATGCTTATAGTCAAACAATGCTTATAAATCAATGCTTATAGTAAAATCAATTTTTTTCTAACTCAATTATAGATCAATTAATGTATCATCGTTATATGTGCAGATATTTCAGTTATGGAGGCGGGTCCATTGACACGTGATGTTCTTTATGACCAAGAGCGCCACCGATCCGCGAAGATAGACGCTGGGGAGGTAAAGTGCAATTTTATTATTTTCAATTATATATAAATTTCAATGTAGTTGATTGTTACTGAACATTTGCACTGTTTACTACATGCAGGCCCCGAGTATTACTGTTGTCGATCATACCCGTGCACACTCTAGCTGGGAGTTGACGGATCCACAGATACAATATTATGTGCGTCAAGCCGGCTTTTTTGAGTGTTCACAAATTAAATGGGTAAGACTTGATTGGGCACTTTTGACGGCATTGGTTGAACGATGGAGGCCCTTGACAAATACTTTCCATCTACGCCAAGGAGAGGCGACGATTACCTTACAGGATGTTGGGGTTATACTTGGCCTCAGAGTAGATGGTGATGCAGTGACGGGCAACGATGACTTCCACTATGGCACTAAGTGTGAAGAATTGTTGGGTCACACTCCTACAATGAAGGGGGGAAAGATCAAACTCGAATGGTTAAGGAATAACTTTATGAATGTACCGATCGATGCGACTGATGAGATCATTAAGCGCTATGCCCGTGCATATATTTTACATATGATCGGTACTATTCTGTTTCCGGATTCCACTAAGGATTCCGTGCACGTGAGATGGTTACCGCTTCTTGGGGACCTAGAAGAGTGTGGAGAGTTATCTTGGGGGAGTGCAGTGTTAGCTTACTTGTATAGAGAGATGACGAAAATAGCACTCGTACAAAACAAAGAATTGAAGGGCTGCCTCACTTTGAAAATAGCACTCGTACAAAATAAAGAATTGAAGGGCTGCCTCACTTTGCTGCAGATATGGTCATGGGAGCGATTGCATATGGGAACACCTGATTTGAGGGAGGCCCGCGCTCTCGATGGGCATATTCCGTTAGGCTGCAGGTATTATTAAGATGCATGTAATTTTAGTGCTTTATTTCAATATATACTAACCCGTTGGATATAAAATAGATGGAATGTGTCCAGATCTTGGCAAACCTCTCCAAAGGGGCATGAAAACTTTTACAGAAATGAGCTTGATCAGATGGAGGATGAACAGGTATAAAAATTATAATATCTAAATATATTCAATTATGCGACCAATTGTTACTGATATCTAAATATATTCATTCAATATCTCATAATATCTTCTTTATAGGTCAAATGGATGCCCTACGAGCTAGTGTTGGAGTCACTACCGGATATTTGCCGAGAAGGTGAGGATGTATGGCGTGCTCGCGTCCCCCTTATATGCTTTGAGATTGTCGAAATGCACTTGCCTGACCGTGTGCTTCGACAATTTGGACTACGGCAACATATTCCAGCGCCTGTGGAGAGAATAGAGAGAGATCCAAGAAAAGGTGCACATCGTGCTAATTGGCAAATAATTCGCCAAAATTACATCCATAGGTGGGTTTTAAGGGAGGAACAGGTAGTGATGGAGAGGGCTGATGCACCTGACCTAGGTGTGTACCTACGGTGGTATTGGGGGATTACTCGCCGGTGGATATTTCAGGAAAACAAAGCCCCGAAGGAGTACATACCAAGAGGCCCAGTCGAGAGAGAGTTGGTAAGTGTATAAGAAAAATATACAATTATTTTCTGAGTTTTATTTTCTCACCATCCACTTGATAATAATTTTCTTTCGGTTTTTATTTTATAGGTACAAGAGCTCGAAGAGCTTTCCGGAATGGCACATGACGCATTGCGCACGACTACCGAGCAGGAGCCGAGGAACATGTTCCTTCGAATGATAAAAAAGATACGGTCGGCTCTTCAGAGGACGCGTCACGCACGCCGTGATGGACGGGAGGAGCGACCAATTGAGTTCGGGCGGCGACGTCGACGAGGACACACGGGGGCGGGATCAAGCTATGCGCATGATGAAGCTGGCGGCTCACAGCAGACTCAGGCCGAATGTTCACAGGAGGTTCGAGACGACGCGGATAACATGCACTCCCAACTTCACACACAACCGGACGAGGAACTTATCCGAGCTCACGTCGAAGGTGATCGAGGAAGGGGGAGAGGAAGAAGAGGGAGAGGGAGAGGGAGAGGGAGAGGAAGAGGGAGGGGAAAGGGCATTGTTGAAATTTGTTAAGTTTCGATGCACTTGATAGGATGTTTGCGTTTGAGTTGCAATTTGGACTTGATATGTTGTTTGTGTTGCGATGGATTTGATATAATGTTAAGTTTGCGAATATGAATTGTACGTATTATATTTGTGTTTGTGATTGTATTGTGAATTGATAACAGGAGTATGATTGCATTTTAGCATGTGTTATTTGTGATTACATTTTGTACTACAGGAAGTATGAGTTTTCCAAGTAAATGTGGGCTGGAATGGGGTCTGCAAAATGGTCGGGGTTGGGAACCCCGACCATTTAGCAGAGCCCATTTGAGGGAGGCCCGCGCTCTCGATGGGCATATTCCGTTAGGCTGCAGGTATTATTAAGATGCATGTAATTTTAGTGCTTTATTTCAATATATACTAACCCGTTGTATATAAAATAGATGGAATGTGTCCAGATCTTGGCAAACCTCTCCAAAGGGGCATGAAAACTTTTACAGAAATGAGCTTGATCAGATGGAGGATGAACAGGTATAAAAATTATAATATCTAAATATATTCAATTATGCGACCAATTGTTACCGATATCTAAATATATTCATTCAATATCTCATAATATCTTCTTTATAGGTCAAATGGATGCCCTACGAGCTAGTGTTGGAGTCACTACCGGATATTTGCCGAGAAGGTGAGGATGTATGGCGTGCTCGCGTCCCCCTTATATGCTTTGAGATTGTCGAAATGCACTTGCCTGACCGTGTGCTTCGACAATTTGGACTACGGCAACATATTCCAGCGCCTGTGGAGAGAATAGAGAGAGATCCAAGAAAAGGTGCACATCGTGCTAATTGGCAAATAATTCGCCAAAATTACATCCATAGGTGGGTTTTAAGGGAGGAACAGGTAGTGATGGAGAGGGCTGATGCACCTGACCTAGGTGTGTACCCGCGGTGGTATTGGGGGATTACTCGTCGGTGGATATTTCAGGAAAACAAAGCCCCGAAGGAGTACATACCAAGAGGCCCAGTCGAGAGAGAGTTGGTAAGTGTATAAGAAAAATATACAATTATTTTCTGAGTTTTATTTTCTCACCATCCACTTGATAATAATTTTCTTTCGGTTTTTATTTTATAGGTACAAGAGCTCGAGGAGCTTTCTACTATGGCACATGACGCATTGCGCACGACTACCGAGCAGGAGCCGAGGAACATGTTCCTTCGAATGATAAAAAAGATACGGTCGGCTCTTCAGAGGACGCGTCACGCACGCCGTGATGGACGGGAGGAGCGACCAATTGAGTTCGGGCGGCGACGTCGACGAGGACACACGGGGGCGGGATCAAGCTATGCGCATGATGAAGCTGGCGTCTCACAGCAAACTCAGGCCGAATGTTCACAGGCGGTTCGAGACGACGCGGATGTCATGCACTCCCAACTTCACACACAACCGGACGAGGAACTTATCCGAGCTCACGTCGAAGGTGATCGAGGAAGGGGGAGAGGAAGAAGAGGGAGAGGGAGAGGGAGAGGGAGAGGGAGAGGAAGAGGGAGGGGAAAGGGCGTTGTTGATATTTGTTAAGTTTCGATGGACTTTGTTTGTGTTGCGATGGTGAGTTGCAATTTGGACTTGATATGTTGTTTGTGTTGCGATGGATTTGATATAATGTTAAGTTTGCGAATATGAATTGTACGTATTATATTTGTGTTTGTGATTGTATTGTGAATTGATAACAGGAGTATGATTGCATTTTAGCATGTGTTATTTGTGATTACATTTTGTACTACAGGAAGTATGAGTTTTCCAAGTAATGTGGGCTGGAATGGGGTCTGCAAAATGGTCGAGGTTGGGAACCCCGACCATTGTGGGGACCCAGAATAAGTAGTCGGGTTTCCCAAACCCGACTACTTTCGGGGTTGGCCCCCGACCAATTAAAAATGAGCTTCGAAATGGTCGGGGTTCCCAACCCCGACCATTTAGCAGAGCCCAGCGCTAGCTGGGCTGAACCACGGACAAAATGGTCGGGGTTGGCAACCCCGACCATTTCGTCGCTGATGCTTGCTGGGCTCTGCTAAATGGTCGGGGTTGCCAACCCCGACCATTTTGTCCGTGGTTCAGCCCAGCTAGCGCTGGGCTCTGCTAAATGGTCAGGGTTGGGAACCCCGACCATTTAGTGAAGCTGTTAGCGGGCGCTGAACTAAACAGTCGGGGTTGCCAACCCCGACTGTTTACGAAGACGATTAAAAATTAATCGACCAGCTTTCTCGCCGCGACGCTGACGTGGCGAGAAAACCGGTCGATTTCAGTAAATAAAACGATACACAGTCGATTTTGATAATAAAAATTTAAAATCAGGCTACAGTGAAAATTTGTTCATATTTTTAACATAACCCTTCAAATTATAATCGGTTTTATTTTATTTAGCCCAATATGATCCTCATTCTTAAATTTTACTCCCATACTAATTTTCAGGCAAGAAAATTGACTTCTATCAGATATAACAACATCGTCCGCGTAGATAATTATTTTATTTTTAATTAACTTAATTAATGACATTTTAATCGTTTATATATACTTATTTGGTAAAATTACTAGGTTGACATATTTTGTTGACCATAAACACCAACTTGATATATTTTCTTACTTCGACTATGATAAGGTATATAAAGTAGGTCACTGTGATGATGACGCCTACTTTTTTTTGCCAGAACAAAATTCCGAATGACTAAATGTCACGTGATGCTCATGAGGCTTCTTACGTGATACACAGCTGGGTTCATTCATTTTGAGCTGAAAATGATTTTTTTTTAACGGGGTTCAAAAGGATGGGGCTTAGATTATGTGTTCTTCTTTCCCCTAGGATCAAAATGGGTTAGGACAAATTATATTAGGTTAGGGGATTTTTGCAGTTTGGGAAAGGATTACTCTGTTCCTCACATGAACAGAGAATAAGGAAAAAAGAGAAAGGGGGAAAACATTGAGGAAGTTTTTCATTACGGTTAGTTAAAGATTCCGCTTAACCTTTGCCACATAAGTCTAATTGAGCCACATAAGACATGCATAGTCACTTTAGGTGATCTCATGAGAAAATTTTGCTCCAGCTAAAAAAAAAAAAAAACTTGTTGTCCCCAGGTCACACTTTATTTACCTTACCATTGCCAGAGTAAAAAAAGTACATCACGTTAGTAAGAAAATATATTAAAGTCAACAAAATACACCAATTTGATGATTTAGCCGTAGTTATTTCAATTGAATATATTCCAATAAAGTTATTTGCTGGTGTTCGTGGAGGATCTCACTACAATGTTGATATTTACGCATCAGGCTTCTCCAAGAAGCTTGAGAGTTATTTAATGACTTAGATTCAACCGTTCTCCTAATAATCTTTTACTTAAAAGGGAAGCTAAAGTTTAGGAGAATTTCTGCTCATATGTGGATGCTGTATTGAATAATATAAGCCATGTGTTTACTTTGAAAGTAATCAGAGCATCAGCAAAGTTCTGCGCTCTCTTCTCAAAAGCATTCAGATAATTTCTGCAGAGATCAAGCTACAATTTCTCTCGTTGATGACGGGCAGAAATAAGATTAACAATCCAAAATGTTAAAAGGAGCTACAATTTCATTATATAAGATTGCACAAGCCGAATATTATTGCTTCTTCCAGGCTATATCTGCTTTCATTCAATGGATTGAAAAGTACTTTTTTTCCCCACCTGGAAAGCATATTATTTTTATCTAAGCACCAAAAATAATAATAGTAAATGTCACTACTTTAAATCAGAGAGGTCATGTAACACTAGCTCTAACAAAGCAAGGAGGGGAAAATAATTAAAATAAGATTAGTCCCATATGAAGAGTGCATTCGGTTCCCACCCCGTGAGGAACATTGCATCTACAAGTAAAGGGGGTGATGAAAGTATATATTTTTTTATCAACTCGAGATCCGATCGACACAAACATATTGTTCACAGAAATACGGGAGCCATGACCAAGGTAATTGTTGCAAGCATCTTTATGAGAACGTGGAGGGAAGGCCCTGCTGTGTCTTTGAATGGATCTCCAACTCTACAAGGGAGGGGAAATTTTCATTAGTGCCTTTGAGGAGGTAAGTAATGGACTGAAAAAATGAATAATGACCAATATGTCAAAAGAAAAAAAAAGAAGAAATTCTGCTAAAGACGGTGTAATGAATGGATACATTATCCCCTGTGAAGTGGAAGAAATATTTGGAAATGTTTTTTAATATTCCTCCTATGTGCCAATGCTGGACGTGTCATCTGCTACCACTTAAGTTTTAGCTACCATGTCAAGTTATCGCCAAATACACTTTAATGCGTCATCCATGTGTGCGGAATTTACTAGTGGATAAGAAAAAGCAGTGCCAAACATACTCTAGATGTTGAGGGTGCCAAACATACTCTAAATGTTGAGGTTTCCAGTCTGAAATACAGAGTCAATTGATGTTTGGTCTTCATTTTCCATATAATTTCTATTGGGATAAAAAAAAAAGGTTAAGGTCTTGAAGGTAGTAACTTGAATAACAAAATCATAACTGCATCAAAGCAATAGAAGGATAGGAAGGTTTCTGGTTTCAAGCGAAATGCAAAACCAAGTAAATATGGGAAATAGTTAACTTGATCCAATAGCTAACTCGGGGAAAGGTATTCCAGGTGTCAAGATGAACTTTTCCCAAAAACAAATGATGATGAACAAATTTATTGCACTCCTATAACCTCATTTAGGGAAAAGAAAGTCCAATTACTCTCCTAGCTAAAAGTGAAAACACATATTTACACTTAGCAAAAAGATTAGTGATCTATTACAGCATACAACAATACATAGACAAGGCAAACTTACGTATCTCCAGTTATTGCTGCTTTATGGCAATCACTTCCTTTGCCTCCAAGAGCACCAGTTTCAATGTACTTTTTGGCATTATCCCAAGCTCCCCCAGCAGTATTTAGGAACAGAGCCATCAGAATACCCGAAACTGTAGCAAACATTAGCATTGATGCCACGACTTTGGCTCCAAGAAGCTGCTGGCCAGTGGCTTGACCCAGTAACCGGAAGAGGAATCCTGACAACCACAAGACATTAAAATAATAACAGTATCACCACCACCATCATCGTCAAAAGGCTGAAAGCAAATAAAATACACAATTATAGAGCACTATATACAATGAAGACATACCTATGGCTATTGGCGATATAATTGCCAAAGCACCAGGTTTTATCATTTCTCGCAAGGATGCAGATGCCACAATGGAGACACAACGACCATAATCTGGTTTCTCTTTATATTCCTGGGATGATGCGCAAAATTGTTTAAATGACTCAGGGTTTCCCATGACTAGCAGATAGATTTGAACATAATTATCAAAAATATTGGAGAAGAGAGTATTAAACTTCTCATACCTAGACACTTACCATTATACCTGGCCTCTCAATAAACTGTCTCCTAACTTCATTAACAACCTCCTGAGCAGTTCTTCCAACAGCTGCACAAGCCCAGGCACTAAACAAAAAGATAAGCATAGAGCCCAACAGCCCTCCAACAAAAATCTCCGGAATCGCTATGTCGACCTTTAAGTCCACAAATGACAAAGACATCACAAAAAGGAAGTGAAATGTATACTGGAAAGTACAAGAGAGGGCTGGGCGCTTGTGATACCTCTTTAAAAGGGAGCTGAGCAAATGAAGCCACTTCATCCATATAAGCACTAAAAAGGAGAAAAGAAGCAAGAGCGGCAGAGCCAATAGCAAATCCTTTAGTAGTAGCTTTTGTAGTGTTACCAACAGCATCCAGGAGATCTGTGATTTCTCGAACGCTTTCAGGCTGCATGAATTTAATCGCCAAGAGTTATGACCAAAGAGGTCTCAAGTAAATAAACGGTACTCTTTCATAGAAATAAATAGTTTCTTCTAACATTGAATTATCAACGAAAAAGTATCTCTCTGTGCTTTCAGGGTTTGAGAATTTTCCTATGCCATGTAGTTTAGGAATTAAAATATTTTATCCCCAAGGGAAATAAAAGTAAAAAAAATTCAAAAGTTCTGTAATACTTATAGGGATGGTACCTCATACCTGCTGACTCATCTCAACAATGCCACCTGCATTATCAGCTATTGGTCCAAACATGTCCATAGTGAGGACATAGGCCGCTGTACTGAGCATTCCCATTGTTGCTACAGCTGTTCCAAATAGACCACCAGTTGGCTTTCCAGTTTCATCCACCAAGCCTGATGTGCGTCCTAGCCAGAAAGCCGAGATAATTGCTACACTAATCACAAGAACAGGAAGAGCTGTTGACTCTAAACCTAAGCTTATGCCTGCTATTATATTAGTTCCATGCCCTGTAGAACTTGAAAGAGCTAGCGAACGGACAGGCTCATGCTTATAATCTGTGTAATACTTGGTGATCCAGACAAACAAGTATGCTGTAATGATTCCTACCAAGCCGCATAAGGCAAAGTTCAACCATGCAGAAGGAGCTTGTTCAGTGTAAAGTAACCACCGAGTGGACTGCCAAAGTTATCCCATGACAAATGCCAGAATGAGAAGAAAGAGGAATTAAGATTGCACATTGCAGAGATTAATATGTCTCATCTAAATGAGAAAATGGAAAAGAAGTCAGTACATGAGGAAAACTTTACCAGGCCGAAAGTTATTACAGCTAAGACTATTGTAACAGAATAGCCTTTCTGTAGTATTGCCATGGGGTCTTCTATAGCAGCCTTGGTTCCACCATTACGTGTTCCCCTGATTGATAGTATTCCTATTGATGATACCACTAAGTCAAAAGAGTGGACAACAAGAGGAAATAGGATAAACCCTGAAGGATCTGCAACAGAAGTATATCCAATCATCAGTCAGTCAGAAATAAAATCCATGAAAAAGTGATAACATGATTTCCAAATTTTACTATACAGTTTTTTCCATCTGATTGAGAACTCTATCATAATAACAATTGAAACTTAAGAGTAAACTGTAAAATGACACATATAGCACGAGCTTTTGTCATATAGCATCTGCACGAAATAAAAAAGAAAAAGAAAAAGGACAAGAAAGGAAAAATAAGTGATTAGTGCGGCAACTGAATCCATCTGTCAATCCCTAGGTCTAGTAACTGCAAGAACGGATCAACATCATTGCCTTTCCCTCAGAATGGTGTCAATGAAGAAGGCTCCACAAGATTTCATGAAGTTCTATAACCAATTAGAAACCTGATGCTTAGTAAGCTAGTTGGCGGGTACAGGAACCTATCTTACTGATTGCTTAACCACACAATATTCCTCAAAGTTTTAGTAGACTAGCTAGGTCTAAGGAATGGTTGGAGATGATAATTTCTATAGGAAATTGCATTTAGAAGCACAATTGAGGATCTACATCTACACGGAACTACGCAAACGGCTTCAATACCATGAATCTACTAGCAGGGGCTAACTACTGAGACACAGTGGACACATCAGAAAAGATGTGAACTTTTAAGATCTGTAAAGTAAAAATCAATAGAGATACCAGATTTCAGTAACGTTAAAATCATTGCATTCACACGCACAATAAAACAAAACAAATTGAATTTATTATACTAGATATATTGAGAGATCACTCACAAAATAAACAAAAAACATCGGTGGTTTTCTTTATAAAATCTTGCGAACAAGTTAAAAATAATAACCGATAGATAAGAATTAAAACATGTATAATACTTTAGGTAACTGTAACTTCTATCACTAAATATATGGAGGTAATAGCTGCTCAAGCTGTCAGTCTGCTACTTTTCCAAGCACATCATTGCGCATTGTAGCAGATATTGCGGCATACAACAGATCCCCAAAAACATTGATGGGCACATAAGAAACATCAGACACGATGATTACACTTTGAACCAAACAGCAAATACGCACATGGAGAGTATGACAATGCCATAATGTCGGTGGTGAATAAATGTTTTGATGTCAACCTACCTAGGTCCATCTATCGTCCACGCTAACATGTAAGATTCAAGAAGGTTAGAATGAATTATAATTTCAAGTCAATTTTGAGATGACGTTCAAGCATATATACATCTTCTCAATTACGAAGATCTGGAGACAGGAATAAAAGCATATTTGTTGCTGTGTCTAAATCTATATACACAACAGTATAGTAAGTGACCCGTTATAAGGAGAGCATAAAACACAGAATATTGCCAAAGAAATGGACATCTCCGAGAAGTTGGTTACAGGATTCTAATTTCTCCAACTGTCAGGGTCAAAACACAGATAGCTTAGGCTGAGATATCATATTTGAATGAGGCATCCATGCATACATCTCCAACCAAGTAAGTTGCATAAATACCCACCCATAATATTTGACTGGTCTGAAAATGGTAAGTTACAACAGAAAGTATGGTCTAAAGCCAAGCTTATCGAAACTAAAGTAATCACCAACTTATATTGCAATCCATATGAACCATAGATAAAAAAATTCTGAGGATGTCTGTAGGAACTCAATTGTTGTTTAACAAAGTATTTTTCATATCCAGCTTCATGCATGTAGATCTTGCAGGAAAAAGATATTAAATTGTCAAGAGAATAAGTAGAGCCTTGCCTTCAATTTTGCAGCGCTGAGCCATACTTCCTCCAAGTATCATAGCACTAATTATCTCCGCAGATACATAGACAACAACACTCAGCTCAGTGAACCCGGTATTGTAGTAGCTGGCCACCATAAGAGCAAATGTCAGTAGGATTGTTGCGGTCTGAACTCCCAGGAAAGGTCTCTATACTAAACATACAGTATCATTCTAGCACACTACTACTATAAGGAACACAGACATGTGTATCGTAATAAAAGACTATCAAAATGAGAGTGAAAATTACGAATAAACACTCCGAAGATTTATCAGACTATAGACTATGCATGCTATGGCAAAGATCTAGGACACTTAAATAACTCCTACTAGATTTTGATCTCACACTTCTCAAGTTCAGGATGGGGCCCAAAAATCTAATGTCAGAAAGATTATGATAATTGCGCAATTTGCACAAGATAACTTTATCGCTGAGGGAAAACTGTACCATTTTGGAATACGAAAAAATTTAGTGAAATTACGAAATCCAAGAGAGTAACCTAATCTCACCCATCCATCTGACAAGAAAATTGCTAAAAAGCTACATATTTGATTCCAATTTCCCACTTTATGATATTGTAAACAATCTATGAGACCTATTGTGCAAATAAAAATGCAGAAGATGCTTTTAGGCTCTAGCAGGGGAAAAAGCAGGAAATGTAACTAATAACAACATTGAACTCCCAACACAATTTATGCTGATAAAACCGCAACATGTTTTTTAATAATAGTTTAAAATGCAAAATTAGCTTTGATTTCTTCTTATTTAGTATATGCAACTTAAGCATCTGTATCCCATAATCATAAAACAAAAAGAAAGAAAAGGAGAAAAATATTCACACTTTACCAATCCCTGTGAACGCTTAACCAGCATGCACCTAATCGAAAAACCCATAACCGTTTAATTAATCACCCACTTTACCAGCCTTCATTTACTTTACCTTCAATAGCAGTCTCCTAAGCTAAAGTAAACACTTGAGACCAGTTCCTAAGCATTTTTTTCCTGTTCATTGAACAACTATGTAGCACGGACACGGATCTGACACGGTCATCCGACACGAGGCAAATCCTAAAAAATACATAGGATACGTGTGTCCGACACGGACACGACACGACACGGCGAGGCAAATCCTAAAAAATACATAGGATACGTGTGTCCGACACGGACACGACACGACACGGCTTCATGTTATGCGTGTCCGTGCTTCATAATAGGATACGTGTGTCCGACACGGACACGACACGACACGGCTTCATGTTATGCGTGTCCGTGCTTCATAGTTGAACAAAACTCTAGTGCACAGTGCACTCATTCAAATTTAATCTTTACCAAGACAGAGAAAAGAAGACATTTTTTCATATGAAGTCTATACTTCAAGAATATTTTGTGAAATAAATGTGAAAAATGGGACAGAAGATTCCTTTTTGTAAAATTGGTCATATTTTCATTTCATTATGATCATAAATAGTTAATATTTCCATCTCCCTGTGATCAAAATTCTGGTCCCAACCTTATAATTTCAATCTGTTCCAACCAGACAACATACTGAAACTGGAACAAACGTGATAAACCCTGGTCAGAGATGTCTTCAAAACGAGTTCACCAAGGACCAAACACCAAGACATAAAATATACATGATCTCAACTATGACAGGCCCAAGGAACAAAAAGGCACCCAAAATCATGGGATAAAAAGATGTTATCCCTGGTAATTCAAAGACGAGATTTCAAATCTGCCATGAGATGGAAACGGAAGGCGAAGGAAACAAACACCTTCCATTGGATTAAGTTCATTTTACTAAAGTACGCACTACGAGGAAATGACCATATGTCTAGATATGCAGAATATGGAACAGAATTGATTGCATATCATATAATAAAACATAATAGCAACTCTAGCCATATTGTAAGAACTGCTTCTGACAAATTCCCAAATCAATGTTTGTCTGATATTAGGTGTCCAGTATATAAAACTTTACTTTGTAAAAACCACACAGCGATGTTGGTAATGGTTGAGTGACATAACTAAATACAATAAGCATACTGCCCGTGTACAATTATGATCAAGTAGACATGAGATTATCATCAGAATACAACTCTATGCATGTCTACGCCATATGAGCACGAGAGAAATAATGTATACCAGGTCTGCAATCACAGCAGGATTTCTAGGATCATCTTCAGGGATTCCCTGCTCCACTTTTCCAACAAGATCTGCTCCAACATCTGCTGCTTTGGTATAAATTCCGCCACCAAGCTGAGCAAAAAGAGCAACAAACGAGGCACCAAAACCATATCCGACAAGGAGAAGAGGCACTGCATGAAATGCAAAGAAGCATACAAGTGTCACAGTTCATATAGGATAAAAGTTAATATAGAAATATCAGCCAACTGATTAGTTGATAATGCCTGCAAAACGAGGTGCACATCATGTGATAACAATATAACATATAGAAAAAGAGACTAAAAATCAAAATTACATAAAGTATGATTATCAGAACAAAGGATTAAACACATGCTTACAAAACTTGATCTCTCAGATTATAACTGCACATAGTCAGGACACAAGGTGGGATATTGTTTTTCAATACACAGTTGATGAGAGAACATTCTATTCATATTAATAGACTATTTATGCTATTCATATTATTACACTGTTTATGCATGACGACTATAATGTGCACCATTGTATTTGCTGCTGTATAGACAAAAAAACAGCCACATGGGTGCTATACATTTAGCACACACAAAAAAAGAAAACTTTCTCAAACAACTTGCTCTCTAGATGGCAAGAACTCTTCAATCCATTTTTCATAGGCTGTGCTCAAGGCTGTAATTACCAATCTGACATTAAAGTAAGCTGCATGTGGTTATGGTGGTGGCAATAATCTTCCCGAGTCAGATAATTTACAAAGTTAACGTTGCTGCTTTTAACACGTATATTTGTATGTAAGCATCTACCCAGCCCCAAACTTCATAATAGAACTATCCCCAGATACAAAACAACAACAACAACAACAACTCTATCCCAAGTGTTTGGGCTCGGCCACATGAATTCTATTCTTCCATTACGTTCTATTATGGATTGTCTCCTTTGTTAAGCTAACCATAACCATATCCTTCTTAATTACTTTCAACCAAGTCCGTCTAGGTCTAGCTCTGAATTTCTTTGCTCAATTACCTATAATATTATCACTTCTCCTAAACGGTGCACTAAAAGATCTACGTCGTACATGACCATACCACCTTAATCGATTCTCTCTTGTTTTATCCTCCACAAAAGCAACTTCTAATTTACTACCAATGCACTCATTTCTTATCCTATCTTTTAGGGGTTGTTTGGTTGGCTAAAAAAACAAGGAAATCAAAGAAAAGAAAATATATTTCCTATAATAGGTTCTTTTTTTGTGTTTGGTTCACTTCTTAAAAGTAAGAAATGAGATGAGATGAGTTGTCACTATATTATTGGATGATGTGAGTGATTTTTTAAGAAACAAATTCCATGACTTGTTTTGAGGTTGTTTGGTTGGCTAAAAAACAAGGAAATCAATTATAAGAAATCTATTTTCTATAATAGGTTCTTTTCTTGTGTTTGGTTCATTCTTAAAACTAAGAAAAGAGATGAGATGAGATGAGTTGTCATTATATTATTGGATGATGTGGTTCATATTTAGGGAAACCCATTTCATGATTTTTTTTGAGGAAATGGATGGAAATCAAATTTTAATGAGATGAGATGAGTTGTCACCATATTATTGGATAATGTGACTCATTTTAAAGATGAGATGAGATGAGATGGATGATGCGACCCATTTCTTGTGTTTGGTTCATTCTTAAAAGTAAGAAAGGAGAAGAGATGAGATGAGTTGTCACCATAATATTGGATGATGTGGGTGATTTTTAAGGATGGAAATGAATGGAAATTAACTTTTAATGATTTTCAAGGTCCTATTTCCTTTTCTTTGATTTTAGGAAACCAACCAAACAGCCCCTTAGTGTATACCCACAAGACCATCTCAACATTCTCATTTCTGCTACATTCATTTTTTGCACATGTTGTTTATCCGTAGATACAAACGTATACCCCAAAGTTAATGCAGCATAGATGACCGGTGTACCCTAGGTTGCATGGATACAGGTACGGGTATTGGTGCGGGTACGGGTGCGGGTATGGGACATACACATATATTCAAGAAGGGCCTCAAAGGTTTGGGAACGTATTGAGTATGGGTATGGCTTCCTAATAGAAGTACCCATGTAACATAGTGGTAACAAATCCCTTAGGTTTAGTCAATTGTTCAAGTCTAGACAGGATTATGAAGCCCACTATACAGTGTTGTTAGCTTGTTCAATAGTTTTAAGCCTATACTTTAACCCTTTCAGATTCTCAGTTTTCCTCCCCCTTGGTTCTGGTGTTTTAGTTTTGGATTATTTGCATATAGACCCTTTAAATCATGGGTATTTTCAAAACTACCCTTCAAATCTCAGTATTTGCAAAACTACCCTTCAAATCATCCATTTTTGAAAAAAAAAACACCCCCAAATAAATCAATCATCAACTTTGACAAGTTAATTTGTAACTGAAATATAAAAAAAAAGTCAAATTTTTACTCACCAACTGAGAAATATTTTATTTTAGGGGTATTTTCCCCCAAAGTTGATGATTTGGAGGGTGGTTTTGCAAATACTGAGATTTGAGGGCTAGTTTTTCAAATGCCTATGATTTAAGGGGTATATATGCAAATAACTCTTACATATTTCACTTTGTATTTTGCCATCTAAATTTGTTGAACGGTTGAACTAGCAGCTATGGGAATTACTTAAACAAGTCAGTATAGGAGTCCTGATGATCAGGAAACAGAGACAATTTTGACATATTTGAGCAGTCCTTATACATTTGGTTGTTAGCAGGGAAAGGAAAGAGCTGCGAGAAATGGAAAATTTTGGAAATATTACTTAAGTTCATGGAGCCTGCAAAAAGGTTGTCAAGGGAGAACAAATTTATCACCCTTTTTTCCACTACACTGAAGAAATTTTGGAATTCACGGACTCAAGGGATTTTTAGACTTTCAGGTCCAGAAAACAAAGAAAGACTTGAGGAAACAGGAGAGCTCGCCCAGAATATGACGAGTCTACAAGACGATTATTAGTCTGAAAAGGGAAATGAGCTTTCATGTATAAGCTAAAATCCATATCTAAAAGGGGAAGCAAGTATGGCTGTATCGTACATGAGACTATAGGGAATAAATTCTTGTGAGATCTTCGACTTCAAGATCCAGATAGTTCAGTTATGTAAGATCTGAATACACAGGACAGCACATACAATTGAACAACTGACTAGAAGTGGTCAAATCTTCTTTAAAATAACGAAAGTGCCATGTAAGCTGCATAAAACTGTGGAATTTTTTTAGCAAAGACTTTATCTCAAATTTGGAATTGAATTTGCAAAGAAACAGCCAGAGCAACTGATGTTATCTATGACAAAACTCAAAGAATACTGTACAAGGCTCTGAATGGTCAGATAACGAGCATGAATTATGCTTACGTCAATACACCCATTTTTACTAGTCTACATCATAAAAGATGTCTAACACCTTTTCTATGCATTACTTTACATACATACATTTGTGTGTGCGTGAAAATGTATATGAGCTGAAAGCCCATGTTGCAAAATGGGCTATCAGCTCAATAGCCAGCTCTCTCTCTCTCTCTCTCTCTCTCTCTCTCTCTCTCTCTCTCTCTCTCTCTCTCTCTACACACACACACACTTACATATATTTATTACATAATATATGTACATTAATTATATAAAAAAATATGTATGTATGAAATTATAAATATCTTATACGAAATATGTTTAATTTTGAAAGAAGCAAGAAGTGTCACATATCCCATATACACAATCAACCAGTCCAGCACACTTAAATCCAATCAAGCATGTTCACGGAATATTCTACACAAACATTTAAATAAAAAAAATCATAATTCCAAGGCAACTATTGGTCGTCAAGGAAGAAGGTGGCAAGGACTTACAATCTGTGACCTTCATTGAGCCATGTGAGCCTACTCCAAGCCACACATAAAATGTAGCATATAGGAAGGTCACACCAATTACAGCCATACCAACAACAACAATGGCCGAAAGCCCGCCAGCACGGACAGCAATCTGTATTGTGTCAAGAGAATCAATAATATGGTTAATCCAATTATGATAACCTCAAAAAAAAAATTGTAAGGTACCTGCAAAGCCTCCCTAGCAGAGCGCCTAGCAGCACTAGAGACACGAACATTTGCACGGACAGATACCCACATTCCAATATATCCAGCAAACCCAGAACATAGAGCCCCTAGAAGAAATGCAGCAACTGTAACATATGCAGATGCTGACCTATAAAAGAGGAGGCGCATATCATAAAAGAGAATGAGATCCAATATCATACAGAACATTTATGTGTAAATATGTAAAATACACTATGGCAAGAAAGGTTTACTTTACAAATGAAATACCTTCCAAGGCCAGACGATTCCTGTTGTGGAGTCGAACTACGGAAGAGATAAATACTAAGGATAACAAGCGCCAATATTATAGCCATCTTGGAAATAGTTCCATACTGAGTCCGGAAAAAACCTTCTGCTCCATCTCTTATGGCCTCTGATATCTGTGGAATGATAAAACCAAAAATGTCAAGCAAAAAAGACAACGGAGAAGGAAAAAATCCTATTTTATGGAAACTGAACTCTCCGCAGTGGCAGACAATCCACCTCAGGGCGAAGGGTCAGGAACAAGAAGAGCTGCAGAATTCTTGAAAAGAATTAGGGCTCAATTGAGCTCAAATACTTCTTTTTGGGTATTTATATAAGCGAGTACGGGTTGGAAACTAGAGCTCAACTGAGGTACTCAAACCCACCCCCCCCCCCCCCAAAAAAAAAAAAAAAAAAAAACACAAATATCACAACACTTCTTTCATAAATACATCTAAACGGGTAGGAAGGGAGGTTAGATAATCATGAAAAAAAGAGTTTTTTAAAAACCTAAGATGTCTTAGAATTGATTGCTAATTTGTTACACAGATATAGTGGAAAACTACGAGGAATAAAGATGATTCAAAAAGTTATGGACCAGCACTTCCGAGGGAAAAGGTAGGAGTAAAATTTACAAGCATAGATGGGACACATACTATACACAAATTGCTAGAAGCAACATTATCAACATAGCTAGAAAGTTCCCTTTGAGTAAAATTTACAAGCATAGACACATATTTTATACAAATTGCTAGAAGCTACATTATCAATATAGCTAGAAAGGAAAATCTAGGTAGAAATCTTCAAACCAAGCATTTATCAAGCACGGGACACTATGTTTTATAAACAACCACAAATGCATAAGCTAGCAGAACACTTATACATCAAACAACCAGGTTTTCACATGAGAGCCACTGGCATGACTTCAAATGATAAGACTTCAGCTCAGAATCAACTGCTACAGATTATTTAGATAAATGCCAATAAGAATAGCTAGTATACTAATGCTTCCTACAATTTCATAAAGGGCACACGATGCAATGGAATTTTTTTTAAGCACATGATAGGACCAGTTTTCTTTACAAACATAAAACCACCAACAACAAAGCCTGTTCTTCCATTCTGCTATCTACTACATTAAAGTTAACTATTTTGTTGCTTCCAACCAAATTCTCATAGGTTCACATCTAATCCTCCTAGCCTTATGAAATATATTTCTATCACTTACTTCTAAATGGTAGTGACCTCCAAGTGCATAACCAAATCATCTCAACTGATCCTCTCTCAATTTTATCCTCAATAGGAGCATAACAATTTGTCAGTACATTCTGCAAATGCATCAGCACTGTGTACAATACCCAAGGAGGCAGCAAAGCTTACATAAAATGACAGAATATTCTTCTTTTTAGGTGGTTCTGAGTGGCGAGTAGAGTCATCTATCAGAGGCAGAAACAATGGTGGAACAACAAAGGCATAGTTCCAAGTTCCAACAATCAAAAGGATTCTCAAGAGATCTTTATGAATGGTGAAAAAGAAAATAAATCTGGAAACTTCAGCTTTAGGTGACTTCATTCAGCAAGCACAAATTCTTAAATACATAAGTTGAAGTGTTTGAATTACATGGCTATCTTTTGCAGAACTCAACACACAGTAAGGGTCTTTCCACAACTCTTAGGCATTATTTAATATGGTAGGAGCACAAATGAGTCCGTACAAAATGAAAGTGTTTCAAAACAAACTAGTATGCACATTCATAACATCAATTAAACCATGCAGAAAATTAAGGAAGCTGATATAATTGGAGTGAAGTTTCAACCATAAACATAAAGACTCAAAGGCAATATTATCAAGAAAACTGCACTAGATCGACCATGTAAAATCTGCTTCATTCAAAATAACAGATGCTAAACTATTATGACTGAGGTGCAAATATCTCAGGCAAACAATGAAGAACATAGTAATGAGATTATAGAACATCATAACGGGTAAGGAAAGACACTAAAGTTACTAAATCCAACCAACTACAGTAGATAAAAACTAGAACATAGAGGCACACACATACAAAAGGGCACTGATAACTACATGTACTCAGTTTAAAAGACAGAACAGGTAAGATGCAAGATACCTGAACCATTTCAGGAGGCCCCTCATCTTTTGCAAGAACCCACTTCATAAGATATATTGAGAAGAAGAAGCTGACCACGCAGATGGAAAAGACAAACAAAACAATTGGGGAAGTACTAGCTCCAATGTAAATTGCAGCTCCAAACAAGAAGAGCAGAAGGGCAAATAAGATACGGACATCTATTCTCGTGAAGATCCGTAACATCTGAAAAGGTAGGAAAAACAATGAATAACATGGGAGATATGATTAGGATCCACTTACAGATATGAGATCTAAATTAATGCGTATAAGCGACCAGGTATGAAAAATGAACATATTGGAATTTTTGTCAGAAGCATTATCATGATATAAAGATACTTAGCTTGGAACAAAAAATATTCTTCTCACTATGAACATAAGTGTTGTTTTTAAAGAAATTTTGAATGTGTGTATTGAGTATTTACATGTACATTGTATACACATACTCTACAACTTGAAGTATTTTTATGCACATTGTATACAGATACATTATACTACATTATACATAGTACATAGTACATATGAGTTGGATTCAATTTATAAAAAATATCAGAGTCATACAGTCACACGTGTTAGTCAAAACCTTGAAGAGAAAAACAAGAAATCTTGTGTTAGTTTCCCTTTACAAGTTGCATAAGCAGCATAAAGATAAATGACATGGTTGAAACTACTAGTTAACAAGGAACCAAGTTTAGTTCCTAAATAAAGAAATGCAAACAAGAATATAGAATTTGTCCTCTGGACAAGCAGCAGATAACCAAGCTAAAATAACAAGTCAAGAAAACCTTTTGATGTATCAAGAAGTATACCAGAGGGACTTGTGATTTACTCCGCATGTTGGGAAATGTTCTGGGTCGGTCTTGGTATGAACCCACAAGTCCATTCTCCACATCATCATCCATTGCAATAACAAGAGAAGAATTTACCCTCCGGGCCACAGGGAAAGGAGCAAACTCCCCGCCAGGGGGCAAGTCGCTCCCTGAACCTGGTCGCTGAATTTTGAATGGATTTGTTTTGCTCACTTAAGCAAAATACCTAAATCCTGGAAAAGAAAGAATTATCAAAAGTGGTCAAAATAATTTGTTTGGCTTCTCAACTTAAGTTTTTTCAATAAATGAAGTACATGATGTGGATCTCTAAAAAGGAGCACTATGTCTGAATTCAAATTCAATTACAAAGGAAGATAGTGTAATAAAACCACATATACAAAGCATAATGATACCAGGACAAAAGAAGAGCAATAATGATTAATGAAATAGCAGTAAATAAATTGTTAATAAGAAGAATAATGAAGGCAGAATCAAAAACAGTCTTAGCATATCCATGTGGAACGAAAAGAATCGATTAGTTAGAATAGTAAGTTGCAGTCAAAACACGTTTAAGTTCAATGCTCAATAGTGAACAAAACCATAAAAATTCCAGGTGGCTATTTGGGTCAGTGCATTATCTACAAAATCTTTAGCAGTTTGGAGAAAACAGTCTTGATTCAAAAAGAAATTTATCTATTCTCAATAATATATTCGGAAAAACTGTGTGTCGATATCAGTTGAAAGCGAACACAATCTAGAAGCACATTTGTCACATCAAACTTGCTTTGATCAATGTCTATAAGCAGAAATATCACCAGAAAATGTAACAGAGTGGAAAAGATGAAGGGAACTTTACAAAGTTCACATCCCAATTGCCACTTGAGCTCCTTATTTGATGTTTTACAAGAAAAAAGCCCAGGCCTGAATGTAGTACATCTCCACGCCAATCTGGTGAAGAACTTTCCCAGAACATGACAACAATTTGAGCCATTTAGGATGTATACACAAGTAAGATACACACTAAAAGTATGTTATTGTGTGCGATTGCGAACATAGTGAGTGATTCAGAATGGGCATTTGTTCAAATGAGGGAACTGCAACTAGAACTTTGAAATTTCAAGATATATAGCATGCTCGTACAATATTGCTTGATTCAAGTGATTTTGAATGCCTTGGGAAGAAATATTATTTAATTTCTCTTTCTGCAGTCTACAACTTTAGACTTCACTTTCTGCATCTACTTTCACTCTCCTTCACCAAGTGAGAATGTACCTCTCATTGCTCGGAATTTACATATTTTATCTTGGACACATGAAAATTCAAATTAAGGTAAAAATATGCATGATCCCGTAAGCAAGTACTTGAAAAAAGTACATGAAAACTTTTATTCGGAAGATCCTACTCACTCAATTCCAGTGCCAACATGTCCCAAAAACACAGCAGTTCCTTCGTAGTAAATTATTGTTATGATTGATTGTACATTTATTTGTTACATGTTACTTAGGTCGACTGTTTATATATCTGTAATGCATTGTGTGGATCCCTATCACATCATTTCTGGGTTGCATACATGAATGTAGAGATATGTACTTCAAAGGCTTACAATGCTATTAGATAAAAACAATTAGGACACTCATAATTTAAAAAAATTAATGTCAATATAGAGATATGTATAGCTTTCAGTGACTATGGTATCTTCAATTAACTTAATGTCACTACATGCCGTCTAACAACCACTCTCCAGCATATTATTTCTTGGACGACCATGTATTTGACATATGCCATTTAGAAGTCTTGCCTAAGCAAATCCCAAGTCGCCCAAATGGGATATCATAAAAGAATGTGTCCACAAATCAATTATGGATCATATTAGCTTCTCAGTCTATTAAATAGGAAAGTCGTGCTCACCAGTCACTGGTTGTCAGCTTGATCAGAATACTCAACAGAAACATCTAGGGATGCAACAATTAACTTTTCCTTCAGTCCTGAGATAAGCCAAAAAAATGTGCCCAATATGTACATATTCCCGCACTAGCAAGCTAGTTTACTGTACCTTTTTTTGCATTCGTTCATTATATTAGATATCGCATTTGACTAATGTAGGGGAATGACACTTAAGATAGCAACCTTAACTTAACATATACTATCGTCATTTACCTTCATACATTCATTGGAAAAAATAATTTTGACTCAATATCATAAGCTGATTCGAACTTAAAACTAATTTCAATACATTTCACGAGCAAATTCTAATCAATTTAACACCGATTCTAACTAAAATCAAGAGAACATTCCAACGATCGTCATTTCATCAAAATTTTCGTGGCTTCCTCTCCCAAAACCTAGATCTATGGAACAATCGCCTCGATTCCCAATTTCGATCACGATCGATAATATGACAATAAGATCGCAAATTTTTCAAGAACGAAAACCTAAGAAAGGAACTGACCTTTGGATCCGTACAAGAACCGGAGGCGCGTTCGATCCACTGGAGTTCAAAAAGATAGCTAGGGTTTGAGAAATCGCCAGCGTCCCCGGCTCGCGAATGGCGATTTTTTAGAGAGAGATACGGTGTTGAGTTTCAATTTTCTCTCTCTAGGATTAGAGAGAGAATTTCCAGATCACGCTGTAAAATAAACGCATATTCTTCAGTCACAGTAGCACCTTGGCGCAAATTCGGGTGGTAATTGGGTTGAATTCAACTTACCCGACCCGTTTGCGGCCCCCATGGTTGTGACTTGTGGTGGGGCACGTTTATGTAGGCTTTTGTTGCGTTCCAAATAGGCCATTTGACCCGTTTGGCTTTTGCGGAATGGTGTGATGGGAGATTAATGGCTCTAACGTTGTGGTGGGCCCACCTTTACAATTTTCCAAGTTATTCATCCGAAGGAATGATAGAGGAGTACTCTAAGGCACACTAACAACCACACTTCCTCTCTCTCTACAGTGCAGGGGGCTCCACATGTGATTTTTTTCATGTGTCTTAGAGTATGCCTTAGATAGGGGTGGAAGTGAACCAAATAATTAACAAATAGTTCAATAATTATTCGAGTAACTATTCGGTCATATTCGATTCGGTAGTTCATTTACCACTAAGTAAATATTTTTTAGTATTCGAGTTTACTAACAAATATAATTTGACCAGATGTATATTCGATTCGTTTGTCTATCAAATATTCGTTTAAAATTTGATCACTTATTATTTGTATTATTTCACATATGATGTCATATTTTTAACCTATTTACCATTTATACTAAAGTTTTATGTACTGATTTTAAGACTTAAACTAATCTTAAATTTATTTTCTAATAAAAATTTTGATTTAAATATACATACATTACTTATTATAAAGGAATATTTTTTATTTATGAATTTAAATATCATTTGAAAATCAAATTCTTTAGCGAAATAAATATACTTTGATATTCGAAAAGTATTCATGAATATTCATGAATATTTATCAAATACCAAGTATTCGAGTTCGAATTCGAAAAACTCATATATGAATATTAGAGTTTGCATTCGAATTCGATAATTTTAAACAAATATAAATACGAAAACTTTAGTATTCGATTCGATTCGATCATTTACCACCCCTAGCCTTAGAGTGTGCCTAGCCTTAGAGTGTGCCTGTAGAAAGAGGTAGTGTGGTTGGTAGTATGCCTTAAAGTGTGCCTGTAGCGTCTCTTATTCATCCGTAACTTTTTCTTTTTTTAATAAATAGAATCATTATAAGTCTAACATCGCACTACAGCACAGGGGTTTTGTTTTTGGATTATTTTAAGTTTGACTATCTATGAATTTTGGAATACTAATCAATAAGTGCAGTTCTTTGAGCTATTAAAGTGTGATTTACCGGAAGAAGAACACCCAAATTTACGATAAAAATGCTAACTTTTTTTTAAATAATAGTAATATATTTTCTGCTGATTTAGAAAACAGGATATGAATAATGTACTCCTATCTTTTATATATTAATGAATGGATATAAATTATGGATTTTTTTTTTTTTTTTTGAAGTTTTGGTAAATGACAATTTCAGCATCAACATTTTAAAATTTTATTTTAAAAAAATGATCAAGTTTCATTAGGGGAAAAAACAGTTGACTATCGGCCATATGAATTTCTGTTTCACGTTTTCTGACAGCAGGAGGATAATCATGAGCTTATTAAGTTAATTATCTATTAAGTCCACGTTTCCAACTCTAGGTTAAGACTGAGCCGGGGTTGGAGGAGAAATTTTTGAAATCAGCCATTTTAAAACTTTAATCAGCAAAAACGACATTCTCACATAAAAATGAGCAAATTGATCATTTTTAGCCCTCACAGGCAGAAAACGATCGATTTTGCTGAAGGGTTTTTTTTAATTACACGGGACTACTAATTAGAACCTGCTAATTCATCATTAGTCATGCCAAGAAAATAGAAAATAGACGGGACTACTAGTCCCGTATAATTTGGCCGCTTAATTAAGGTTTTAAATTACACGGACTAGTAGTCTTGTGTATAGCAAAAATTGCATCTCAGCAAAATCGACCGTTCTCTCACGACGAGCGGTCAATTTTGCTAACTTTTTTCCTAATTAGGTTGTTTTTGCTGATTAAATTCTCAAAATGGTTGATTTCAAAAATTTATCGGTGGTTGGAACTTTGCTTCTATTTTAACAGAAGATATGATCCAAGAGCATTTTTGCAGCTCCGTTTGAACAATTTTAATAAAACGTTTTATGTTTTAGATTAGAATTTATCTCGAGAGCATTTTTGCAGCTCCGTTTGAACAATTTTAATAAAACGTTTTATGTTTTAGATTAGAATTTATCTTACATTATCTTTTCTGTCCCACACCAACCCGAAAAAAAAAACAAATGTAAGCTACTGTACTTGAGCATAATAGATGAAGGCCCGCGAAGCCGTCCCTACTAAATAAAAATATATAATAAAGAAGAAGAAGCAGCAGCAGCTAGGATAGCATCTTTAACAACTATGTGAGCCATACAGAAAACCTATTGAAAATATCTTTCTTGCTGCTTGATGTGTATATCCCTCCAAATTCCTATTTGGATATAAGTCCATGGTCAGGGATGACATGTCAGAGTACCCAGAAGAAGTTGAGGCAATCGCATGTTAGTCCGTTAAATCATCCGTAGTTCCAAATTAGCCTCTCACACCTTAGGAACTGTTTGGCAACCGTGGCATTTTTGTCGTTTTTATTTTTGTTTTCAACAAAAACAATAAAATGCGTTTGGAAAGTAGGGTGTTTTTTTTATTTAAATCTTTACAAAATCTAAAAAATAAACACTATTCTCAAAACACCAAAAAAATATTTTGAGATTCTGTTTTTTCAACTAAGCATTTTTGTCGTTTTTATTTTTGTTTTCAACAAAAACAATAAAATGCGTTTGGAAAGTAGGGTGTTTTTTTTATTTAAATCTTTACAAAATCTAAAAAATAAACACTATTCTCAAAACACCAAAAAAATATTTTGAGATTCTGTTTTTTCAACTAAGCCGCCG